CAAAACCAAAAGCTATACAGTAGTTTAACGCTGGAAGTAAAAAAGTCCTTTTCCAATTAAACGACGTTAACCATGACAAAAACCAAACAAACCCACTGCTGTTGAGTCTATTCTGACTCACAGCAATCCTGTAGGACAGAGTAGAACGGCCCCACAGGCTTTCCAAGGAGTGGCTGGTTGGATTTGAACTGCCAAGCTTTTGGTTAGCAGCCTGAGCTCTTAACCACTGTGCCACCAGGGCTCCAGCGTCAACCATACTCATCTTAAATAGCATAGTTTTTACAATTTCTGTACCTGAGCCATCCTACAAGTGTTGCTACCAGCTCAATGCTATTAGCTCAGAGGATAAAGCCGTTTTCTCAAAATGAGGGTTTATTGATACCTTCGTTAATTTAAAAAATGCAGATACTTAGTATTTTATATTGTGAGAAAATGCTGAAAGGGATCGCATGGAATTTTTAAGCTCACGGATACCCGAGTTTTTCTCCAGCACAGAGAGGCTGGAAGAAGCAGCTCTTCATGATTCATTCTAATGGAGGGAAGCTGAATGACAGATAATCCAAAATGTCAAATAATCAGGTTCTGAAAGCTTCGCTTTTCTTTGCCCTTGAATAAAGGTGCATCCGGAATTGGTAAACCACTTTGAAGGATGTCTTAAAGCCCCATGAAAAGACAGGTGCCAGGAAGGACCAGGCAGGACCAGGCATGACCAGGAAGGGCCAGGAAGGGCCAGGGAGGACCAGGGAGGACCAGGGAAGGCCAGGGAGGGCCAGGAAGGGCCAGGGAGGGCCAGGAAGGGCCAGGGAGGGCCAGGAAGGGCCAGGCAGGACCAGGAGGGGCCAAGCAGGACCAGGAAGGGCCAGGCAGGACCAGGGAGGGCCAGGAAGGGCCAGGAAGGACCAGGAAGGGCCAGGAAGGGCCAGGCAGGACCAGGAAGGGCCAGGAAGGGCCAGGCAGGACCAGGAAGGGCCAGGAAGGGCCAGGTAGGACCAGGAAGGGCCAGGAAGGGCCAGGACAGGACAGGCGGGACCAGGAAGGGTCAGGAAGGGCTGGGAAGGGCCAGGAAGGGCCAGGCAGGGACAGGAAAGGCCAGGAAGGACCAGGAAGGTGCCCAATTCTTTTTTTCCTTCTTTCTCCCACTTCTCCCAGCAAGATGGCTCAGAAAGTAAATACAGCCACAGCCCCTCTGCATCACCTGCTGAGAGCAGGGAGGGTTCAAGCACTCGGGACCACAGGACCACGCGAGGGAAGGGGATATGGCTGATGTTGCTGTTTCCTGCTGTCGAGTCAGCTCCTGACATATGGCAGCCCCAGGTTCCAGAGTACAACTGTGCTCCATAGGGAAGGCCTGGCGGCACTGCAGTTAAGCGCTCGGCTGCTAACCAAAAGGTCAGTGGTTTAAACCTGCCAGCCGCCCTACGTGAGAAAGATGTGGCAGTCTGCTTCCATAAAGATGGCAGCCTGGGAAACCCTATGGGGCAGTTCTACTCTGTCCTGTAGGGTCGCTATGAGTCAGAATCGACTTGACGGCAATAGGTTTGGTTTTTTGGTTTAATCTTTACGGAAGCAGATCACCGAGCCTTTTCTTCCGCAGTACCGCTGGGTAGGTTAAAATCTCCAACTTTTAGGTTAGCAGTCGAGAGCAAACCGTTGTGCCACCCAGGGACCCTGGAGATGGCTGATAAGGGAGTACTAGCTCTGCACACTCCGTCCCGTGAGAGTGGCATCAGGAGGTGACCAGAGACAGACACAAGACTGTGCTAGTTGCTTTGGAATCTGCTATTCATTTGCCAGGAGAGCAAACCCCGTCCCCAACCTGACTCCTAGTTTTAATTCATAGCATCAGTTCATCAGAGTTTATAGTTATGTATTTGGTGCCTATTTGACGAATGTCTCTTTCTCTAATGAACTTGTGAGACAGGGCAGGAATGCTTTCCCTCACCATTGCACCCTCCCTTCCCCGGCGTCCAGCGCACTGCCTGTTGTTTTCGTTAGCTGCCATCAAGCCACCCTTGACTCATGGCGACCCCATGGCCAGCGGGATAAAACCATGCCTGGTCCCGAGCCATCTCCATGATCAGCTGTGGATCCGACTGTTGTGATCCATAGGGTTCTCACTGGCTGATTACCGGAAGCAGATCATCAGGCCTCTCTTCTCGTCCATTTTAGCCTAGAAGCTCCACTGAAACCTGTTCAGCACCATAGCAACACGCAAGCCCCCACTGAGAGATGGGTGCACCTGAGGTAGCGTGGCTGGGAACTGAACCAGGGTCTTCGGCATGGAAGGCAGGAGTTCTCCCACTGAGCACCACTGGCCCCCAGCACACTACCTAGCTCATAGTAAGGGCTCAGTTAGTATCTGTTGTGTGAATGCTTGAAAGAAAGAATAGGTGCTATTAGCAAGCCTTAAGACAAGAGCTGGAAAGTAGAGAAGCGCTGGTCGTGTAGAGTAGACTGCATGGTGAAAAATACCATGCGAGGGCCCTGCTCTGTACAGATTAACCCCAAAATATAGGCATAATCATTAACACTCAATCATACATCCTTTTTTGGAGCCCTGGTGGCGCAGTGATTAAGAGCCATGGTTGCTAACCAAAAGGTCAGCAGTTGGTAATGCTGATGGAATAATTTGGAAAAGGACAGTGAGAAGAGCAGCACAACTGGAAGAATGTAATTGATGTCACTGAATTGTAGATGTAGAAATTTTTGGAATGGTGTAACTTTGGCTATGCATATTTTCACCAAAAAAAAGGTCCTCCAGCATCAAGAAGGGAGAGTGTTGACATGTCGTGGGGTTGTTAACCAGTGTCATAAAACAATGTGTACTGAGTATTTAATGAGAAACTATTTGTTCTGTAAACCTTCACCTGAAGTACAATAAAAAAAATTAAAAAAAAAAAAAGGTCGGCAGTTGGAATCCACCAGCTGCTCCTTGGAAACCCTATGGGACAGTTCTACTCTGTCCTATAGGGTTGCTATGAGTTGGAATTGACTCGACGGCAATGGGTCTGGTTTGGTTTTTTTTGCTCTATGATGATATGACTGTCTCATACCATGGCAGAAATCTATTAATTACAAGTCAGGAGCTCAAATCAGGGCCATGAGCACTCAGTCACAAAGGCATGTAGAATATGGCCTCCAGTACTAAACACATAACAGTGACCTTTTAGACTTCTGCAACAATCTTTGCAAAATACTCCTTTGTACTGACGGGGGTGGTGTCATGCACCGTCAAGTCAATTCTGACTCACAGCAACCCCGTGTGACAGAGTAGAACAGCCCCATAGGGTTTCCTTGGCTGTAATCTTTATGGGAGCAGATCACCAGGTCTTTCTCCCGCGGAGGCACTGGTGGGTTCGAACAGCCTACCTTTTGGTTAGCAGCCGAGTGCTTAACCACTGCACCACCAGGGCTCCTTCCTCTGCATTAGGAGAAACTAAAACTGTCATTTAATGGGGTTCCTTCTGGACTGTAACAGAACTGCGTCTGTCTGCCTATGAGCTCTTCATAGATTCTGAAAACACCTTTTGAGTCAAAAATTGGGGGCTAGAATTCTGCAAAGTCTACAATGCTGCATTGACAAGAAAATGAGGTGTTCCTCAGAGGCTAAATGCTGAATTCAAGTCCTGAGTCACCCCTTGCTCATCCCCACAATGAGGTGAGCTGTCTTGTGCCAGAGAAGTCAGGTGGAAGGAGGCGCCTTCTTAATCATTTCTTCCTCCTCCTTAATTAGGAGCCAGGTAGGAGAATTCAGAAGCCATGAAATTAATTACTTTTTGAAAAACGTTTTGTTCAGTTATTCGGCGCACAGAATAAATGATGAAATACCACAGATCCTTAATCTTTGCAATTCTGATGGAGATTTCCTGTTGGTGTTCGTGCCCAGCCCTACCAGAATTTGTCATGAAAACTATTAACCAAGAACTAGATTCTGAGACTACTGACGTGTCAAAGGGGATCTCTGTTCACAGTCCTGCACCCAGCAGGTGACCCTTACATTGAAATGTAATATCTGCAAAGCAGAGATCTCAAATCTCACCCTTCATTTCTCATGATAATTAGGATATATTTTACGTAAGACTTTTTTTTTTTTCCTGTAACTAACTCACACCTTTATCTGCATACCTCCCTTACTGTGACATCAAGGTAGCAGAACTGAATGAGCTATTCTGGCATAGCCATCTGTCCCAATTACTGTTGGTGGCTGCCCTCGAGTCAGCCCCCGATTCATGGTGACCCCGCACACAACGGGATCGGATCATTGTGATCCCTACAGTCTTCATAAGCTGATTTTTGGGCGTAGATTGCCAGGCCTTTCTTCCTAGTCCATCGTAGTCTGGAAGCTCCATTGAAACCTGCTCAGCATCACAGCAACATGCAAGCCTCCACCAACAGACTAGTGATGGCTGTGCATGAGGTGCATTGGCCGGGAATCAAACCCAGGACTCCATATGAAGGTGAGAACTCTACCACGGAAACACCACCGACCTCATCTGTCCAAATAAACAGGCTGAAATAATGTTCCACAAGTATCCCCAAACTAATCCATGTTTTTCCTTTTCCTATTGGCTGTGTGTGTGTGTCTGTCTACTTCCTGTATTTCCCATTACTTCGCTGGATATTTAATTTTTAAGTATTGTATTAAACAATGGGAACATGGACTGAATTGTTTCGGTGAACACATCCTATCCATAAGCCCCTCCCCCCAGCACACTGCCCAATACACCCACCAACTTTCACGCTGTACCCATTCGTCATTGCTGTACGTGCAGTGGAGTCAGCCAGCTCTGACTCCTGGCGACCCCGCGTGCATCAGAGCAGAAATGCACTCCACAGGATTTTCTGTGGTTGATTTTTCAGAAGCAGATTGTCACGCCTTTCTTCCTAGGTGCCTCTGGGTGGGCTCCAACCTCCAACCTTTCGGTTAGCGGTTAGCAGCTGAGCTCGTTAAGCTAGTCCCTGCTAATATACCAAGGAGCGCCGCCAGGAGAGCTACTCACCTTCTTCCTCCTCCTCCTCTTCTTCTTCTCTTTGGCTGCTTGGGCTTGCTTGTGCTCCCAAACCAGGTTGGTCAGGTTGGCTACATACTCGTCTGTCTGCTGCAAAAGGTAAGCTAGACGCCTGTCTTTCTTTTGATCAATCAGCTTTCTATAGCCTTCTTCATCTTCAGCCTGGGAAGGAAAGAGGAGCATAATGAGAACAAAATGAACGTTCGCTGTTGCTGTTAGCTGCCACTGAGTGTAACACCGACTCATGGCGACCCCTAGCGTGATAGAATGCAGTGCCACCTGGTCTTGCGCTGTCCCCATGATCAGTTGTGGATCGGACCATTGTGACCCACAGGGTTTTCACTGGCTGATTTTTGGAAGTAGATCACCACGTCTTTCTTCCTAGTCTGTCTTAGTCTGGAAGCTCCACTGAAAGCTAGTCAGCATCATTGACACACAAGCCTCCAGTGACAGATGGGTGGTGGCTGTGCGTGAAGTGCACTGTCAGGGAATTGAACCCAAGTCTCCCATGCGGAAGGCAAGAATTCTGCCACTGAACTACCGCTGCCCCGATAAAAGTTTGTAGACAATCCTTTTTGCCTCCTCTCTCCCCTTGACAGGTGTGAACTGTGACTGGTCGTGACTGTAGCCGGCTGCACAAACTGTCACAGGCAAGCAGGGACTGGGGGGCCCCCAGGGAGGTGGACGGCTAACTCCCACAACAGTGAGAAAGGCAGAGTTAGGCCACACAGCCACACTGTACGACCAACACCAAGAGGTATGTGGTGTGATCAAGCACTGTGAGTCAACATTCCTTTTCTTCTGTGATCTGTAACTGCATATACACACACACACCAAAAAAAGATGTCAAAGTTTGACAATTCACCAACTGAAGTGGATTCTTAACTTTTTATTTTGGATGATTTCAAATATAACCACAAGCAGAGAGACTGGTAGGGCGAATCCTTGCATAACCATCATCAAGTAACAAAAATCAACTCATGGTCGAAAATGCAGAACAGAATTTCAAATTCTCATGGGATCCAGATTTTATGGAACCACAGAGGCTGGATGAACCCCCAAAACTCTTCCCTGAGATAATTTTTAAACCTTAAAACTTAAACCAAAAATATCCCCTGAGGTCTTCTTTAAACCAAAATAGTTTAGCTTAATTAGTAAAGAATATCTCTTTGAACATCGTGCTCTATTAAAGAACTATCTCTATGGGATCAAACTGACAACGGCAACTTGAAAGATTAGATGGGAGGCTTTAGGGGGGCAGTAAGTTTATGTTAATGGGTGAGGAACAACTCAGAAAAGCAGGGTGAGAATGACTGCATAACTCAAAGCATGTAATCAATGTCTCTGAATTGTACATGCAGGAATTGTTGAATTGGTGTGTATTCTGCTGTGTATATTCTCAACAACAAAATAAATTATAAAAAAATAAAAAGAGACTCATAGTCACCCCTGTCTCAGCACTGCTCTTCCTTCAACTCCTCATTCCAGCCACAAACTGGGTTGTCTGGGAGCAAATTCAGACGTAAGGTCCTGTCCTGCCTAAATATCTCAAAAAGCATCCCTAAAGATAAGGCATCAAATGGGCTTTTAACAAATAGTGTTTCAATATTTAAAGACAACGTTTTTGGCATTACAAGCATTGTGGCTGACAGGAAAAGTAAGCTTTGGGGGATTTTTGTTACAGGCCTGACCTGAGTTATGGACCTCGGGGACCGGGGTCATGGAGCACCTAAAGCCTGGATGTTGGTCACCAATAAAACAGGCACAGTGGTTCCACCGTCACTTCTATTAACCAACACGATAAGGTTAAATGGAACGAACACACCAATGAGACCTTCAGCCATTTCAAGAGGAATCTTTTGTATACATCTCAATAAAAGGACACCCCAAAATAATCTTCTCATGGGAAGCCAGGATCAAAGAAAAACGTTGCAAAATCATCAAGGGACGAGTCCATTCCAGGCAAGGTCAGGCTGTTTCATCCCGGGGTGTCATTCCAGAATGTGCCAGAGTGACAGCGGCTTCGTTGCTCAGTCTAGCTGCTGTCTGCCCCATGGATGAGCGTGAACCTCAAACGCTATTATAACTCTAATTGCTTTTGGTTCTGGTTGATCTCACTTGAAGAAAGAGTGATACAAAAACAAAACAAAACAAAACAAAAAACTTTAGTCTCTCTGTTATCTGAGTATCCCATCATTTAACTGCAAAAATTAATGATTTGCAAATGCCTAATCGTTAGTGTCAAACCAATCTGTTACTGAAGTTTGAAGACAGCTTTACTTCATTGAATCAGACAAATGTGTTCGCTTATAGCTCAAATGACTATAAAATGGTCACAACTAGCCATTGAGGAATCTTTTGGCCAGCCCCCTCCCTCCCAAAAAGAGGAAAGGGAGGCAGGATAAAACACTAAGCTTTAGTGGTCCCTGGACCCAGAGGCTTTTAAAATAGAGCTTCTCCTTTCTGGAATCTAAAATAAAAAAATAAGGAAAACAAAACGCAAATCAGCAAGGAAGACAGCAGCCTTTCGAATTTTCCCGGGACATAATTACAGACTGAGGCTAATGACTTTATCTTCATCCACTCAGGCATTACGTCCCAGAAGGAAATCTGTGGTCTCCTAGTCTTACAGATCACACACCCTTTCCTAAAATCTGTTGTTCGCTCTGAGGCCCAATTATAAACACGATGACCAATAAAGCCCAACACTCAGGCCGATGATCCAAACCGATCGCCTCTGTGTTTACCTGTCCATTAAGAAACAACACAGCAGCAATGCAACCATCCACAAATGGCCTTCGACAAGAACATGGCTATCGCAAAAAACAAAAGTAATGCTTCAAAATTAACTTCAAAACCACGTTACACTGTTAGAGAACAAATAATTCCTGTTATTAAAAAAAGAAAAAAGGAAAGTACCAGAGACTTGAAGAAAACAGACCTTCTTAGCTTCTGAGACACAATTTAACGGGTTACTGCCTTCACTGTAACTTGTGCGGCTAGCCTAAAAGCAGCAATATCTTAGAAAGAACCGCGGTTCTATCCTTCCAGATCTGGTTACCACGCTCCTGCAAAATACGTGTGTGTGTATTGTGTGCTGTTGAGTAGATTCCGACTCATAGCAACCCTACAGGACAGAGGAGAACTGCCCTGTAGGGTTTCCAAGAAGTGGCTGATGGATATGAACTGCCAACCTTTTGGTTAGCAGCCTGAGCTCTTAAGCACTGTGCCACCAAGGCTCCCCTGCAAAGCATAGTACCTTCTTTATATAAGAAGCTATGACGTGAACAGCAACGCCATCCTGGGCCACAGAGATACTAAACTGATCAGCTGCCGTCCTAGATTTGTGGCATGCTTTGTTTATGAAAGAAAAACCGTTTGTAGTCCATCTCCCTGAAGTGAAGCACGAAATTACTAACATTTCTGATAGGCAGCTTTCACTTTCTCCTTCCGCGGTTGTTGTCACTGGCTGTCAGGTCAGCCCCCGACTCGTGGTGACCCCACGCACCAAGGAACGAAACTCTTTCTTGTCCTGCGCCATCCCCATGATTGGTTGTGATCAGACCTTTGTGATCCACAGGGTTTTTGCTGGCTGATGTTCGGAAGTAGATCATCAGGCCTTTCTTCCTAGTCCCTCTTAGTCTGGAAGCTCCGCTGAAACCTGTTCAGCATCGTAGCAACACGCAGGCCTCCACTGACAGATGGGTGGTGGCTGTGCATGAGGTGCCTTGGCTGGGCATCAAACCCGGGCTTCCTGCAGGGAAGGTGAAGTTCTACCACTGAACCACCAAAGCCTTCTCCTCTCCTCTTAAAAAACCACAAACCAAACCTGTTGCTGCCCTGCCATTTCTGACTCACAGAAACCCTACAGGACCGAGCAGAAGTGTGCCATAGGGTTTCCGAGGCTATAAATCTTTACGGAAGCAGACTGCCACATCTTTCTCCCACATCTCCTCTGACTGCCCCCCATAGAGATGTGAACTGAGCATTTCCCGTTCCTGCTGCCCGGCCCCTTACCATCAGTCTCCGCATCCTCTCCTTTTCGATCCGCTCAGTCTCTTTCTTCTGCTCCCTCTCGGTGTTGGCGTGCCATGTCGCCACGGCTTTCGAAAGCTTCTGGATCTTGCCGGCCACAGACCGATGGTACTCCTTGAAGTCTTTTGCATGTTGCAAAATGCTGTTCAGGTATTCCTACAAGGGTCCAAAGGGAGAAACAAAGAACACTCAAACTCCATTTCCAAACGGCCCGTGAGGTTGCCATGTGGTCCAAGAAGAGAAATGTGTGTGTATTTAACAAACAGAAAAACCTCAAATCGATTTTGCGACAGGCGCCGTGGTGTGTCTGTGACGCGAGGTGGAGACTGTGAGGCTGTTGGGAAAGCTGGCCTCTCAGAGTCTGCTCTGTTGCGAGACCTTGGGAGAGAAGCCTCCTCAGCCTCAAGGTGTGGCCGCGTGGACATGGGAAGATGGAGACCTGCATAATGGCAGTGACAAAATTTAAAGCAAATCATTCCAAAATGAACCCGGAGGATGAAGCTGTGCCCGCTGAGAGTCGGGTTATAAAAACAACATTAAATAAAAACCAAATAAGTTGCTGTCGAAGTCAGTTCCAACTCCTGGCGACCCCAAGCGTGTGAGAGTAGAACTGTGCTCCATAGGGTTTTCAATGGCTGGTTTTTTAGAAGGAGATCACCAGGCCTTTCTTCTGAGGTGCCTCTGGGTGGGCTCAGACCACCAACCTTTGGTTAGCAGCCGAACGTATCAACCGTTCGCACCGCCCAGGGACTCTCAGACTTAAATACCCTTGGGTAATTCCGTCATGACTCACAGTAAGGTTATACAAAGCTAAAACTGTCATATGTCATTTGTGTCTACTTTTTATATAAAAGCAGGGAAACATTTACCTTGGTTACAATAAACTCCAACATTTTTTCAAAAGCTAAACTAAGTGGGCACTAAATTAGGCACAGAGAAACATAAAATTTATAAGGTTATGACCCAAAATCAAATCCGATGGCAAAATACTTCCATACTCCTAGAAAGGAATGTTTTTAAATATTTGCTCCTGTGAAATCTCCAACTGGGTTCTTCAAAGCACCCAGGATACTATATCGCTGTTTTTTACAAAAATAACTTTCTGTTCTCTTCTTCCCTTTTCTAAGACTCTTCTCCCGACAGTTTTGCCCCAGGTGACCCACCTATGCCTACCCGGTCAGCAGCTTCCCATGTGATCATGAGTATGACACCTGATTGGAATTCAAGAAAGCCGGGGCCTAAACCCCATCCTGCTACTGACCTTGTGTGACCTTGGGCAGGTCATTCACTTACCTGTCTCAGCCTAAGGTTCCTCATCTAAAAAATGAGGTAGTTGGACTACATAACCTCCAAGGAACTTTGCCATTCTGTAATTTCGCCACCACCCACAATGATACATTTTTCAGTAGTTCCAACTCCATCCAATTACTTACTAGAACATCTTTGTTAAAATGAGCTTAAGGATGAAATATATCATTATACTAACTTTTCTTCATAAATGACTACTAAGAACCATTACAAGAACAACAGATAATTCACTGAAGTATCTATGCTGTTGTTGTTAGGTGCCCTTGAGTGGATTCCGACTCCCAGTGACCCATGTGACAGAGTAGAACTGCCCCATAGGATTTCCTTGGCTGTAACCTTTACAGAAGCAGATCGCCAGGTCTTTCTTCCATGGAGCTGCTGAGTAGGTTTGAACTGCTAACCTTTGGGTGAGCAGCTGAACTCTAACTACCGTGCCACAGCAGGGCTCTTAAGTGAGTTGGATAGTGACCCCTAAACTTCATGTCTATTTGGAATCTCAGAACATGGTCTTAGTTAAAAATATGGTCTCTGCAGATGTTGTCAGTGAAGGATCTTGAAATGAGATCATCCTGGATTAGGGTGGGCTCTAAGTCCAACAGCTGACGTCTTTGTAAGAGAAAGGAGGGGGAGATCTGGAGAGACACAGAGAAGGTCATAGGAAGACGGAGGCAGAGGCTGGGGTGATGCGTCAATAAGTCAAAGAACATCAAGATGGTCAGCAACCACCAGAAGCTAGGAGAGAAGCATGGGGTTTCTCCCTCAGAGCCTCCAGAAGGAAGCAACCCTACTGACACCTTGCTTCCGGACTGGTAGCCTCCTGCCCTGTGAGAGAATGCACGCCTCTTGTTTTAAGCCACCAAGTGTGTGGTCATTCAGGCCACTGGGGCAGGTCTGAGGAAGTACCTGGTGCTTCTGCCGGCGTTTCCTCTCCTGCTCAATCTTCTGCTGCTTCTCCAGCTTCTCTGTCATGCGGGCTTCCCTCAGCGTCTGGCGCTTGCTCCGTTTGTACGCCTTGGAGTTGAGGGCCGTCTCGAGGGTTGTGTCCCGGCGCATGCAGGCCACCACCTCCTGCCTCAGCTGTGGAGAGGAGAGCTGTTAGTGTGCCTTCTCCACTGGAAGCTGATCCCTGAACCTCGATCCTCTCATTTCCACTCAATGGAACAGAATGGGAACTCACCACACAGTCCTCAATCACCAAAAAAGACCAAAAATCCAGATGCCACCAAGTCAGTTCTGACTCAGGGTGCCCTCGTGTGTCAGAGCAGAACTGTGCTCTGTAGGGTTTTCAATGGCTGATTTTCTAAAAGCAGACCTCCAGGCCTTTCCTCTGAGGCACCCCTGGATGGACTCGAACCACCAACCTTTAGGTTAGTAGCTGAGTGCTTAACCATTTACACCACCCAGGGCCCTTCTTTCTCAATCACAGTTGGACTTTTATCAAACGAAGGAACTAGATTATGCCAAATGTACATGGTATTTTCAAAGATGGTATAAGCTTTCCTTCCAAATAAGTCAGATAAAAGCAACTATAGCTCTGTAACAGTAAAAAAGTAAGGAAGTGTTGCCCTGGCTTCTGAATAAATCCATTCATTCCATGTAATTATTCTAATGACATTAATTAGATAACAGGCTTTTAAAATTTTTTACTTCATTTTAAAAACCGTACCAATACTCTCTTTGTGTTTAAGGATTAGCTTTAATGATTCTCTGCAAAAAGAATAAAAGAAATACTTTCTTTCCACAATGTATGGTGGCAGCAGGTACTTAAACAATGTTAATTAAGAGCCTCACAGAAAGGATGGGGGATTCTGGTTCTGGCTTCCTTCCATCCTTAACAATGATACCCTTCGAAAAATATTTAAATTTGGTATTATGTCATGGTCTTATTTTATAGTATCATAAATATAAAATCTTATCAATATTTTATGTGATGTGGTAGGTAGGAACTGGGGCAGGGGGTTAGGAATATACCTTACAATAATAATTCAAAAGAATCTGAAATCAGTATCAATTACAGTTCTTGTAACTGGGAAACTTCATAGATAACAGATTTTTCAGTAATATCAAATAACAACCAGAGACCAATAAAAGTCCAGCATCATGAAGCGGATTCAGAGAGAATCTTATTCCTGAAAGTGTATTTGGCGTATATTTATTCATTGAACAAAATTTTACCAAACACTTCATAGTATTATATAATATGACATTATTTATAATACTTTATTATGCACATTATGAAGTCCCCTATAAGAAAGAAGTAAATGAAACTCGACAGAGTTTTTCTTTTTGCTACTTTAGCTGAAATGCACTCTCACAAACCCAAAGCCACGTAGGACTGAGCCACCCCGGTGCTGCTTGTGCTATTACAGTCAATAAGGCACACGTGCACCAAAGTGAGGTGGCCTTGTGATTTCTGTCACATCCTTCAACAGACCAACTCATGCGATTCAGTACTTCCAAATAACATTCATTCATTAATAATTCATTTTGCACACCCCAGGACCTCAACAGAACAAGCCTATCTGACCAACAACGAAGGCTTAGGGAGGTGAGGCAGGCTGTGGAATGGGAGACCAGCTCCTTCTGGGTCCACCAGGCCAAAGTCACACAGGTGAAAACTGAAACGCCGGCCGTTCAAAACCACCAGTGGCTCCGTGGGAGAAAGATGTGGCAGTCTGCTTCCATAGACATTTACAGCCTCAGAAACCCTATGGGGTTGCTATGCATCGGAATTGACTCGACAGCAGTGGGTTTGAGTTTGGAATCTTTACAGGAACAAATCGCCAGGTCTTTCTCCCACGGAGCCGCAGAGTGGGTTCACATGGCCAACCTTTTGGTTGGCAGCTGAGTGCTTAACCGTTGTGCCACCAGGGCTCCTTTTGTAAACTGTAGTAGAGAAGAAAAATGTTTCCGATACACAGAAGAGAGAAACAGAATAATCTGCAGGTCCTCCTCAGTACTTTTAGCTGTGTGCTGGCTGGGTTAAAAGATACACTCTTTTTCCAAGTTTATATTTTTAGAACCATCTTGAATAGACTGGAGGAGCCTACCAGATCGCACTCACTGAACAATTACATGTGTTTCCCACGTCTTAGATTCACTGGGGAAAAGGAATTACCTGACGTTGGAAATTGAGTAACCGAAGTGCCTTCAGTTCCACGGTGGCTTTGGTTCGTAAATCCGGTGGCAGGGAGCCAGGCAGGTTTTCCAGCTCTTGTATTCTGTGAGCTATGCGGGCCTGGAGTCTAAACGAGTTAATAAAATCAGCGGGCAGGGCGTGGAAATACACAGTGCAATTCAGTCTTAAATGATAAACCACCACCTTAGGTTTAAATTCATGGCAAAACATATCCCCGGAGCTCACGGCCAGCGTCTGACACCCAACCAGAGTTTCTGATGTTCAGCAGAGAAAAACTCACTTGGCATTGATGCAGACAGGTGCTGCATGTTACTCAACACTTGGCATTCCCATATAACCTCAGTGGTTACGCGCTCGGCTGCTAACCAAAAGGTTGGTGGTTTGAATACATCCGATGGCTCTGAGGGAGAAAGACCCAGCGATCTGCTCCCATAAAGATTAAAAACCAAAAAACCAAAACCTGTGGACGTTAAGTCAATTCCAACACACAGTGACCCTACAGGACAGAGGAGAACTGCCCCACAGGGTTTCCAAGGAGCAGCTGGTGCACCAAATCTCCGACCTTTCGGTTAGCAGCCAAGCTCTTAACTACTGCACCACCAGGGCTCCAGAAAGATTTAAAAAAAAACACCAAACCCGTTGCCATCGAGTCAATTCCAACTCATAGCAACCCTATAACCCTATAGGAAAGGGCAGAACTGACCTGTGGAGTTTCTGAAGAGCGCCTGGGGGATTCAAACTGCTGACCTTTAAGTTAGCAGCTGTAGCGCTTAACCACTACACCGCCAGAGTTTCCTCGTAAAGATTACAGCCTAGAAAACCCTATGGAGCGGTTCTACTCTGTAACACATGGGGTCGCAGTGAGTTGGAATTGACTCCACGGCACCCAGCTACACCACCATCCAGGAAGAAGGTGTCATACTACATCCGGCAGGAAAGTCAAATGCTGATGCTCTGAGCAGACAGAGAAAACACGAGAGAGAAAAATCTGACTTGCTCTCTGACTCCCAGCCAGCCAGGGCGCAGAGCTGAGAAAACAGGCTTTCCTTTCCAACTTCTAGTTCTGTTCTAAGGCAACAAGGCCGTCTGTCCTGCTGCCAAGACGATGATGGCAACAGCTCGTAAGGCAGAGCGGGCAATGGCAGTTTTAGGCGCTGAGGCTGCAGAAAGCAGTCAGCCCAAACCACCCTGTAGGCGGCGCTCGCTTGAGAAAAGAAAAGGCGAACCAGGCATTTTTAAAAACCAGGTTTGGGGCAGCAGATCTAATGGTATTTAAAAACTAAGAGTTTCTAGAAAAGGATTACCAGGGATTTCCATTTTAGTAACCATCAAAAATACAACTACAGGTAACCAGTTGCCGTGGAGTCCACTCTGACTCATGACGACCCCATGTGTGTCAGAGTAAACTGTGCTGCTTCATAGGGTTTTCGGTGGCTGACTTTTTGGGAGCAGATCGCCAGGCCTTTCTTCTGAGGCACCTCTAGGTGGACTCGAACCGCCAACTTTTTGGTGAGCAGCCAAACGCGTTGACTATTTGCACCACCCTGGGATGCCTATAACTACAGGTACTTCCTTGTAATAAGGCAGAAGAGAAAAGACAGCTCGCTTTCTTCATTCATTTGGGCTACTATTCCCGTCACCCAAAAGGTTGGTGGTTTGGATCCACACAATGGCTCTGGTTTCAGAGTTCGCCTGGATCATAACAACATTTTAATCTTAAAAATAATTACATGCCACTTAAATCTGTTTTTTTGTTTGTTTGTTTGTTTTCTTTTTTTTTTAAAGAAACTCCTTCCTTCAAATTTAGGGCAAAACTGCCTTGGGATATCTTTCAACAAATAAAGAATTGTAATAAAAACAGTAATACGCTGAAATAAATTCACTGCACTAAGTGCATTAAATGCACAATTACATTTAATTCTCTCTCCCTCTCTCTCTCTCTCACACACATACACACCCATACAAGGTAAACGCTATTAATAGTTCATTTTACTGATGAGAATAGTGAAGCCTGGAAATATTAAGAAACACGAAGACATCACAGCTCAGGGGGAGCCAACACTGAGACCCTGGTCTGCCTGCCATCAAAACCGCTGCGCTGATACTGTAAACCCATTGCCATCAAGCTGACTCTGTGTTACACAGGAGAACTCAGCTCCACAGGGTTTTCAATGGCTGTGATCTTTATGGAAGCAGATCACCAGGTCTTTCTTCCGTGGCACCACTGGGTGGGTTAGAACTGCCACCTTTTTAGTTAGCAGCCAAGCACAAACCACTTGTGTTACCCAGCAGTCCCCTAATGATATTACAGGTAATTAAAATACACTTTCTAACTGAGAACTTTCCTGGACCTGAACTATAAAGGTAATCATTTAAGGATTCTACTCAAAATTATTACAGTTTTGTCAACCTTTACAATGCTGCATATTAATCTTAAAAATTAAAGCCTTCTGTGACTTACATGCTGCAAAATATCGTAATAGCTCATACAGCCCAGTATCAAAATGAGCGCCTTCTCAGACTTAGAGTTCTTTGCTTTGGGAGGAAACTAAAATGCCATCTCTTACAAAAACTTTAATAGTAAGGGAAATGCTAAAATTTCCATTGACTTACTAAATACAGTATTTATGACCGATTCCTGTTTAGTTTGATACATACATGTTATTGATTCTGATTTCCGGAATAATTCATCATCAAAATGTGTTATTACTCATATCATCTGCTGTTGAGTCCATGAGTTTAAACAATAATAAATTTTTATCCTTTCGCTCTTTGGGCAAAACTGTTCAAACTCTCCCAACTTTCTTTCCACATTCCCTATATTCCTGGAATTATCACCGTGGTATTTTTTCTCTACATGAAACAAACACCTATTTCATTGATCCATCCGTGTCTTAAATACCCACACAGCCAAAGCTCCCGAAGTACAGCAGGAGAGGATGCGATTTGACAATTAGAATAGTAAGAGAAAAATCCATTATGGATTTTTTTTTCCCAAAGATATAACCTCCAGGGAAAAAATAAAGCGGAGACAATTTTAAGACTTGGGCCATACTAAAAGAAAATTAAACATTACAGTGGGGTTTGAGGATAGCCAGCCACGTGGTGGTCCTGCTTCCTCGGCTGGCTCTAGACTGATCACAGCCCTTTCTCCTGTGAACAGCCCAGCACCCAGGCTGTCCTCTGGCATGCTAGTTGACTCCCTTTGACAAAGTAGGTCAGGTGCTAAATTAGAGGAATAGCTGCTTTTTCCTTAGCCTTCCAAATAACTACAGAAAAACTACAGCTAAGTAAATAATGCAGGGCATCCAGGCTGACTCTATAGAGATTAGATCACACCGAACCGGGAGGGTCAGAGGCGGGGAGTTGGGTAAATGGGGAGTTGGGGTAGATGGGGAGTTGGGGTGCTGGGGGTTGGAAGAGGTAGGGATTTGGGGTAGATGGGGGCTGGGGGTAGAGGGGAAGTTGGGTGAGTGGCACTGGAGCGCATGGGGTGCTATTTTGCAATGAATGCTTCTCCACAAGAGCCTAGTAATTTGTCAGTGAAGCTCAGATTCCCCAGCACAAAAGAACCTCTTTTCTGCAAGGCAGGCAGAGTACAAAGTACAAACTATAAGAGAAGAGGAAAGGTAGATTCCACAGTGAAACTGCATGCATTTGATTCAGCACGTGGGGAGTGGGCAGAGACGGCATGGGAGGGGCTCCTGTGACGTAGACAATTACATCTTTCTGTTGCTGTTGGCATTAACCTTCATTTTAAATAACGCTTCTCTCCAGACAATTTCGTCTCCCCATCAGTGGGATTCAGCAGGTAGTCCGATAAACAGACTCAGGGCTCTGAACTTGCCAAAACAACAAGAAGAGGTAATAGTGCCTAACTGCGGGAGACTCATTTAGCGTCCTGCTCACGGGGACAGAAAATGGAAGTGGAATTAGGTCACTCGGGTTTTTTGTACGAATTGAACGGTAAATCAAGAGGGGTTACTGTTCTGGCGAGAAGAAGAGTTCCATTAAAAGCAACAGATATTTGCTCAGTTCCAGAGGAGAAGTTTCTGAATCCTGTAGGAGAGTTATTTGAACAGAAAATGACACTGGTACATTTTGTTCCTTCAAGGAGCCCGAAGACACTTTAGAAAGAGGGAGAGGGAGAGAGAGAGAGAGCAGGCTTTTTGTAACTGTGCTGATAAAGGGGCTGTTGGTAATGTCTGAGGTGGAATGTTCAGGGTTGGGATGGAGGCCAGGGCAGGACACAAATCCCAGGCAAGCAGCTTCTATTTGCTTCCCCCATCAAGGAAGAGGCACTGCGGTGTTCATACTAAATTCTGACTTGATAGCAAACATGACGGACATAATTCAAAGCTGCTCTTCCCAAATAAACCCCTCTAAGTGTGAAATACATCTCCCACACACGGCTGTGGAGTTAGTTTATTTACCAGTGTGTGAGTTCCTGTTGTACTTGAGAGCAAACAACTAATTCTATGTGAAAGAAACTGAAGTTAGGTATTCTGAAGAGGGTGAGGCAAGCGGTGTCGAAAAGAAAATAGATAATTAAAAAGCCCACGGAAATGTGTCTCTGGCCCTTACTACGGGGGGGGGGGGAAGCAATAAAGTTCCATCATAAAAGAAAGATGGTCAGAGAAAAAAGATCCAATGAAATAAGGGGGATAAATGCTTAATGGGAGAGCTTGTAGAAATCTGAGGCCAAGTATTCATACGCAGACACGGATTTACACTACCGCCGGATAAAGAAGGCCAATTTGCTAAAACTCTGATTTTCATGACGAACAAGGAAAATCAGCCAAGTGGCTTACAGGTTCAAAAAATTAAGATTCTGGCCATTTTCTTTCAATTTCTGTAGACAAGGTAAGTGGTACGCTGACGACCAAAAACAATTAATGTCTGTCAAAGACTTCCTGACAGGTGATTTCTGCTGAAACCAAGTTCATCAAAGTGTCAAGGAGGCTTCTTCTAAGACTTCACTCAAATCCGCCATCAGGTGATAAAGATACACTGGACCCTTCTAGGTATCATGCTAAGGCGAGCCAGTCGATCCTACGTGGACGGCCAAAAGGACAACTGTTTCTTAGCTGTCTTTTCCATGTGCCTAAGGGACTTCATCAAACCCGTTTTAAGGGATAAATTTAACTAATCTCTGCCGTTGAACAATTTATCTTCCGGCAGAAGCCAGCTATTGCTCTACAACTAAAGAGATTTCAGAAGCTCCAGCATTGCGGCTACTACAAACCTTTGTGCTTCTAGAGATGGCTGAGGGGAATTTCAGGCCAAAAGACCCACTAGCTTTTTGGATCCGGGGTTGTCCAGATTCATCATTCCAAAAGCCATGCAGCTTTATAAAAGGGGAGAAATTTATCAAGTAATAATAATAAGAAGAGGAAAAGCAGCCATTTCATCACATCCTGCAATGCTTGCAATTAAAAAAAAATTTACATATATATATATATAATGTCTGTATTTGTTGTCAGCGTCTGTCAAGTCAGCCTGGATTCACCGCGACCACATGCACGATGGGATCGGATCACTGTGATCCAAAGGGTTTTCGTTGGCCAGGCCTTTCTTCCTAGTCCGTCATAGCCTGGAAGCTCTGCTGAAACCTGTTCAGCGTCACAGCAACACGCCAGCCTCCACTGACAGATGGGTGGTGACTTCGCATGAAGGGCATTTGCTGGGACTCAAACCTGGGTTTGCTGCCTGGAAGGCAAGCGTTCTATCACTGAGCCACCACTGCCCTCAGCTATTTATGTACAGATTATTAACGCAGGAATGGAAGGCAAAGTTAGTTTTATATATTGGAAGAGGTAAATTGTACTATTTAATACTGTATATTTAGGGGAGCAGTCATTAAGATCACTTTCCAAGAAGGTGCTAAATTGAGCTCACTATAAGAAACCCCTGCAATTAAAATTCTGGCGGAAAAAGATAAAGAAAATTTACGAGTCGGCAAAATAAATAACTAAAAAAGCACACGCAAAAAAAATAGGCTGAATAAAGGAAAACATCCAGAAGTGTTACAGAAAATGTCTAGGTATAAAAAATCTTGTGAGGGTAGTTTGCATTATTTAACAAAGATACTAACAGCACAAATAACTTCAAGGTAGGAAAAAAAAAAGTTAGCTTTAGGAAGTCAGAATTTTAGAGTAACTAAGCTATACTTCTCCACCCCATTGCTGTTTTTTTAATACTTTTGACTTTTTTATTCAATAGCAACATAAAGAAAGTACTGCATATGAATACTGTACTGTTATTTTGCTCCAGATGAGTATACGGTTCTAGTAGTCAGCGTTACAACACACAGTGATCATTCACCCAACAGAATCTGCCTATCAACGCTGAAATTATTAATTGATAATGAGTATCTAGCTCTCTAGAGCTGCATGAAGTGCTGGCAATAGCAACATAAAAGCTCTTAATTGATAATTAGTAACAGTAATGAGAGTAACATCGTACTCTTCATCCAAAAAAGCTAAACACATCTCATCGCAAGTTACCATGCTTCCTTTCTGTGTGGCTCTCAAAGCTGGTAGCTCGGTATTCTGATCGTAACACGAGCGAGTCACCTGCTTTTCAATCAAGATTAATGTAATGCTTTAAAAGGGAGCCCAGACATTGTTTACTGACATTCTCTATAATTTTTTAATTTGGATTTTCTTTTAAATTAAATCATACTTGGAAAAAAATAATAGCTAATATTTACTGAATGCTTATGTTCATTTTATCTTCACAACAACCCTACGAGAGGTTTCTAAGAGCCCTCTTTTTACATATGAGGAAACTGAGTCACAGAAGGGCTGTGACTTGACCGAGGTAACACAGCTAGTAAGTGGTAGAGTGTGCTTTCTGTTGGACCCCAGAAACCAGGCTCTTAGTTTTATTTTATCTTGACTCAATACTTACTTAACTCCCTTTTCAGTTAGATGCTGACCACTTATATCAGGGGTCTGCCACCCACAGCCTGCGGGCCAAATCCTGCCTGCAGCCTGTTTTTACAAATAAAGTTTTATTGGAACACAGCTCATTATTGTCTGTGGCAGCTTTGGAACTACAACAGCAGAGCTGAGTAGTTGTGACGGAGAGTTTCTGGCCCACAAAGCCTATATAATATTTACTGTCTGACCCTTTGGAGCCTTGGTGGCACAGTGGTTAAGAGCTACAGCTGCTAACCAAAAGGCTGGCAGTTTGAATCCACCAGCAGCTCCTTTGAAACCCTATGGGGTAGTTCCACTCTGTCCTATAGGGTCACTATGAGTCAGAATTGACTAGACGACAATGGTTTTTTGTTTTCGTTTTTTTTTTCAATCTGACCCTTTACAAAAAGAATTTGCCAACTCTACTTAGATCGATATGCCAAATCAGGTGAAAATGAAGTTGCTGTAGTATGAGTTTAAATCAGGACTCCACATAAAGACACATATGTAGGGTTTACCTATAAAGCCAGATCAAGCCACAGACTCTTCAAAGTGTTAAAAAGCAAAGATGTCACCTTCAAGACTGAGGTCACCTGACCCAAGCCATGGTGTTTTCAATCGCCTCATACGCATGGGAAAGCTGGACAATGAATAAGGAAGACAGAAGAATTGACACCTTTGAGTTGTGGTGTTGGCGAAGAATACTGAATAGACCATGGACTGCCAAAAGAATGAACAAATCTGTCTTGGAAGAAGTACAACCAGAATGTTCCTTAGAAGCAAGTATGGCGAGATTATGTCTCACATACTTTGGACATGTTATCAGGAGGGATCAATCGCTGGAGAAGGACATCATGGTTGGTAAAGTAGAGGGTCAGCGAAAAAGAGGAAGACCCTCAACGAGATGGACTGACAGTGGCTGCAACAATGGGCTCAAGCATAACAACGATTGTGAAGATGGTATATTGTGATGTATGCTTAGAATGCAGTGAACCCAAATCACATATGTGTGACCCATGGAGTATGTGACTTGAACATTTAGGCTAAGTTATTAAACAACCGAAAACTGACAAATTAACTTTTCTGGCATAAACAATTTCTAATCTTATAAGCAAAAACCTCGTGATGCGGTGTGACACAGCTCTTAGTTTATCTACGTTACTGGTTGCTCTCAAGTCGATTCTGACTCATAGCGACCCTATGGGACAGAGTAGAACTGCCCCATACAGTTTTCAAGGAGCGCCTGGTGGATTTGAACTGCCGACCTTTTGCTTAGCAGCCGTAGCTCTTAACCACTACGCCACCAGGGTTTCCTTATCTATGTTAGGGCACCCCAAATGTGCACCCCTGTTTGTGAACCTGTAATGTGAGTCACCCTGATGCAATATGAGCTGGACACTGTCCATGAGACCAGAGGGACTAAACCACGTAAAAACCCCGGGCTTTGCTCTTCCAACGAGAGCAAGGTAGAGGCAGAAAGACTCTGTTAGCTGAGTCTCTGATCCTCTCCGAAGACTGAGACTGCCAGAGGGAGGCTCTGCTGGGGACTGTGCCCTTTGCCACCAATCTTGGACCCCAGCTACAAGGGACCCCTGCTGAGGATGACCTGTTGGACAACCCCTCCTCCTGAGACCACTCGTTAAAGGTAACCTGCCTGAAGGCTGAACGTTTGGACTTTAATTAATGGACTAACTTCACCCTACCCTGACTCTCCAGGTCTACAGGAAGGTCTTAGGGTCTTACCTGCATGTGATGCCATGACCACCTTGCACGAAACCAAATGAGTTTATGTATGGCAAATCTGACCATTTCTCTATGGACCCTAAAGCAAAACGCCCACGAGACAAATACACACCACGGTCCTGAGATATGCTTCAGTGTCATGAGACGCGTCACTATCCTGAAGGGCAGCCCAGCATAACACCCTCAACGTCTGATCACCTCCTACTCCTTATTCAAGCACACAAACTTACAAATGAGAAAATGCATCCCGTAATCTAAGTGTGCTATGCCCACTTTCTTGAATGTGTATGAATTCCGGGCTGGGCTTTTGATGTCAGAATCCCCAGGGCCTAACACAGTGCCTGGCATGTCACAGGGGTGGATAAGCATTTTCGGACTGAATGATCTGAAAATCAAAGTCCTTCCAAGCCAGGGCCATCCTGTTATTTGCTGCCTTCAAGTCAGCCCCAACTCATGGTGACCCCACGCACGATGGAACGAAATGCTGCCTGGTCCTGCACCGTCCTCATGATCAGTTAGGGATCCGACCTTTGTGATCCATAGGTTTTTCACTGGCCAATACTTGGAAGTAGATCCACAGGCAACTTTCTTCCTAGTCTGTCTGAGTCTGGAAGCTCTGCTGAACCTGTTCAGCACTAAAGCAACACACAAGCCTCCACTGACAGATGGGTGGTGGCTGTGCTTAAGGTGCGCTGGCCGGGGATTGAACCCAGGTCTCCTGCACTGAAGGCAAGAACTCTACCCCTGAGCCACCACTGCCCCAGAGCCATCCTAAGTCCCCTTCAGTCAAACAAACTCTTCTCTGTGACTTTGTTCTGTTCTAGAAAATGCTCTCAGCAGCATGAACTTCAGTCCTAGCAATTTCTTTTAACCCTTCCCTTGTCCAATGAAAGGAATGACCACAACCCTGGGAGACACCCACCCACCAGGCTTTCTGGAACTTGCTAGAACACAGCAGCCCCCGCCCCTGCCCCCAGCGCAGGCACATTACCTGTATTCCCGCTCCTGCAGTATCTCCACGGGGTCCAGGCCCTGCGGCTTCTGGATGGGGCTGATGCGGCTCTGCTTCTGCTGCAGCTGCAGGATCGGAGAGGGCTGCCCCGGGGCGGGCGGTGGCGCGGAGGGGCCGGGCACGGCG